AATCAAGAAAAGAAAACAGGCTCTGTTATGCTCTGGAGGGCATCTTAGCTTCATCTGGCAAAGGGTGTCTTGACTCTCTGCAACATAAAATTTATTCTGAAGACTATCAAGAGAGGTCGCTGGTCATTGATCTTTGAACAGGATAATGACCCAAAACACAGCTAGAAACAGCCAAGAACGAATAAGAGGAAAACACTGGACTATTCTGAAGTGGTCTTCCAGGATTCTAGGAGTCCTGATTTAAATAATATTGAATCCCATCAAATACCTGCTGAGAGGACCAGAAGTCTCATTGACAGGGAAATTATACATACATGACTTTTTTTTTTTTTTTTTTTTTTCTACTGTAACACATTATTAGCAAAAGTTTAACAGCAGCGTGGTGTTGTTATGGATCCAAACTGCTTTTGGTGATATCATTAATTATCTGTTATTGTTGCACATTAATGTACAGTATTTGTATTGTCTGGAACAGTCTATTTTCCCTAAAGCTGTTATATATCTGTTTTAGCCTTTCTTTTTTTTTAACATCTGATCATTGGGACTCTTTTCTGTTGAATTATGCTTTTTTGAGACCTAATGCCTCTTTTTCTTTTGTCATATCTGACACTTTTTCTCCCCTGAGACTTTGTGCCTCCAATTTCTGAGACCAGATACCTTTTTTTTTCTGTGATCTTAGGGTTTCCTTAAATGAACACCTTACACCTTGAAATACAAATTATGCATTAAAATGTTTTTATAATTTCAACTTAATGATGCCAGAGGTGTATAAAGAAAACTGAAAATGCAACATTGATTTATAGAGGTACAAGCAAAGTATACAAAAGGTTTTAAAGATAAGACTAGATGCAAATATTGTGATCTTAATCTGCAGTATCATTTTTTTAAGGATTCATCTAATTAGAAGAAAACATTCCTTTGGTGGTAATTCATATATATCCTGGAAACATTAATTCAAATTAGTTTGAAATAGAAATGTGTTAAATAGAAGTTATTTTAATGAAGAAAAAGGTGGATTCTGGTTTGTCCTATTAGAGCTTTCTCGCTGTTTGAGAGCAAGAATTTGATTTCATAATGAAATACATTTAATTTTCTTAGCAGTCATCTTTTATTTGTTCAGGACTGCTGCAAGGTAAAGCTGGTTTGTTTTATATTTTCTTTTTGGTTAGTTACATGAATGTATAGAGGAGTGCAATTGTTATTTTTGTTTTTTATTTAAAGTGTAATTTTTCTTTTTTTAAATGTAAAGTCTTGTTTTTTATTAGTTTTATCGTAAAAACTGGATTCTGAAATGCTGCAAGGTAACGAAGTGGTATTTTTTTATATTTTGTTTTGTCACTTTTATATTAGAAGTTGATGGTCTTTTTTGTATATAAGCCTGTTTGTTTCTTCTAAAGCTTGTGTAACTAAGTTGTGAACATTTCTAAAACGCTGACAAAAAAATCAGCTTGTACAAAGGTATTGTTTTATTATAAATACGCATTGAAAAGAAAAGTGAATGGTCTGATTTTGTCAGTCTACAATGGTTAAATTCCTTTGTTTCTAATTAATTCTCAGATTATGCATTAAGGCAGCAGTTTCTCCTAATTTCATGTTTATAGATGATTGATAAGCAACAAATCATTTTGTGCAGTTGCATAATTAGAAAATACACCTTTAAATAAAAGAGGAGAGGCTATGACATTATGGTTGTCTCGGCCCTACC